ATGCTGTCTCTCCGGCCCCTGCCTTTCTTTGCTAAATCCTTTCAGGCAGCTGAGACTGACCAGACAGAATTTGAAATGGGTCCAAGTGTAACTGAAGAGAGTGGCTTCTTTCAGGGTTGAGCCAAGACCTGATTTACTCTTGAGTTCTTTAGGGTTTGGAGGGTAATAGGTCTGTTCTCCCCTCAGCTACTCCAGCACTCTCTCTCTCTCTCTCCTGTCACGACATTTCTTTGGAAGAAGCTCTCACACTGTCAAGGTCACCTTCCAGGCTCAAAGTTGTCCTGCCAAGAGCCCAGACAGGTTTGGTGTTTGGCAGAAGGGCAGGAAGGCTCAGTTTGCTCATCTGTAGAATGCAAAGAACTCTTTCCAGGTACTGCCATCTAAACGGAAGGGCTGTGACTCCTTTATATCAAAGGACCTCATACGTTTCTATTTCCCCTTCTCCCTACGCATTTTGCCTGTGGGTCCCTGGTGTGACCTATTCTTGCTGTTTAATCTTACATAGAACATTCTCCGGATTCCTGCTATCTCGATATGTCTTTCAGCACCAGCCACTCCATCATCTGAAAGCTTTGTAGTATAGTACAGCAACTCTCATCCGGGGCTGGCTTCCCTAACACAAATGCTTCCCAGAGCTGTGCTGATAACTCGCGGCCGTGCGGGGAGAAAGGGAGCTGATAAGGCCACAGGCGCATCAGAAAATTATGCTTCCTAAACAGAGCCGCCACCTGACTCTGGAGCCAGAGCAGAGCGCTAGAAAAAGTCCAACAGGTACCTACGGAGGGGGAGGATCAAAGAAATCCAACTTGAAATTTGGGGGATGGAGAAGAGGAGGCCAAACAAGAAGTATATGGTCCTCAGAATGGACTTTGTTAGGGTCCCCAATTGCCACCAAGGCTGCTGTGATGAATTTATTTTTTCTCCCAGGCCAATAGATATAAGGGCAAGGAAAGTTGTGAATGGCAAAGAGGAGGCCTCTGCTCCCTCCTCACGTGGGAAGCCCTCGTTGGCAGTGAAGTTCCCCCCCATAGGGAGAGGGCTCTCGGAGGGCTCTTCTCCCCAAGGCCAGCCCAGTGGCACAGTGGTCCCCTGGGATGTGGCGCTCCCTTGGAGAACATCTTGATGCAGATGAAGGGCGCTCTATGAATCAATAAATCATAAGTCTGCTGGACAGCACTTAGGTAGGTAAATGCATGTATGTTATTCACTCAGCGAACCTTCCTAAAAAAGATAATACACTCCGTATCTCACCGTGCTGACATATTTCAATTCAATTGATAATGGGTCAGGATTGAGCAAAGCTGAGAGAGTGAATTACCTTTTAGCCATCCCTTCAAGTTTAGGGTTGCCGTCACCAACAAAAATCAATGTCGAAGGAGTCCTGTCTCCGGCAATACCTACAGTGACTCCTAATGAAATAAACCATTCCAGCCTTTTAATCAGACCACCTGCCTAAAAGGAAGAAGCCATCCAGGAGGAGGCCTGGGGACTCGGGGGATCTATTTTCCTCTCACCGGTCAACGCATGAGTGATTCTTTAATTGTAGTAATGATGCGCTTCCCCTGGACCCAGACACTCGGGCAGCAGGAGGCAGCAGTCCTCTGGGGCAGAGGGTTGGCGTGACCTCAGCTGGGCTACACAGGTCTCTGAGCAGGGCTGCATCATCAGG